AATGATTATATCTAGAAAAGAGGTAGCTAAATTTGAGTTACTTTTTGTAATGTATGCATTGAGAACCTTGCTATTGCTAACCGCAAGTCTTGAGGTTAGCGACCGTATATTGAAGGTCGTTTATGAGACACAAAAGAAACCAAGCGCATATGATTGGGGTACGTTCATTTTTAATGAACTTTACAAGGAGGTAGAAGACTACAAGAAACAGCTGAGCAAAGGGAAGGGAAGGACGAGGAAGAACGTTGGGGGATGTATCTACTTTCTAATGGTAAGTGTGTGTTCAATTTACATTAATCCAAAGTGATAGCCTTTCAAAGTTTTCTATGTAAAGGTTTTATGTTTATACTGATTTGTCAAGTTTTTAGGTATGGGGCTTCCAGAATTTTCCAATTGGCCAAGGTTGTCCAAAATCCGTAGATGCTCTGAAATATTGGGACGATGATAAAGTGAATATAAGAATAAAGTTGGAGAAAAAGAGCAACCGAGGCATCTTGCATGAGCCAACTACTGTACATGGTAGTTCATCTACCAAGGTGTATCAAGAATCAGCATTTATTCACCCGGTATGTATAAAATAGAGTACAATGGATAGATATATATGGTCTTATTTATGCACTGAGTTAGTAATCTTGCAGGAAGTAAGGAGGCTATATGGAAAAGTACTGTCATTTGTGTCTGACATTGGAGAGGAGTTAATGAGCTTACAATCAATGCTGCTTGGACAAGGCTCAAGAGAGGAAGAAAGGGAAAAATCACAAGAGGAAGAAGATGATGATAAAGGGATAGATTCTGAGGGAAAGAATGAAGATGAAAAAATAGAAGAGGAAGGACTTGTTGATGAGGGGACAGCTTCAGAGGAAAAAAATGAAGAAGAAAAATTAGAAGAGGAAGAATATAACGAAGAAGGGGCTAAACAATCAAAAGAGGAAGAGAATGAAGAAGAAAAATTAGAAGAGGAAGAATACAACGAAGAAGGAGCTGAACAATCAAAAGAGGAAGAGAATGAAGAAGAAAAATTAAAAGGTGAAGAAGATAAAGAAAAAGATGATGAACAGCAAGGTTCTCTTAAAGAAAAGGGCAACAATGACGATTCAAAAGAGGAAGAGGCTAAGGAGGCAGGTGTAGGAGGGAAAGATTCTGCCGAGGACGAGGAAGGGAGAGGAGAAGAACAATTAAGTAAACATCCCAGAAGATCAAAAGGATATAAAAGATCTGCTATGAAATCTCCATGGGTTAGAACTAATGTTGGAAAGAAGAGAAAAATGGATGAGAAGGAGCAATTATTTCAAATATGCACAACACCATGTGAGGAAGATGAGGGAGACAAGTAAGTCCCTATACTGTGCCTAAAAATTGACTGACTAAAGTATTAGTGACAATCTATTTAATTTTTCCTTCTTCTTTAATAGGATCATTGTAGATTTGTATAGTTACTACTTGACTCGTGCAGAGCTACAATGTTTTGGTGGAAAGAGATGGATTAGTGACAGGGTGATGTCAATGGTTGCCCGAACTTTGGTAGGTGACTAAGAGGAAAATGAAGGAAAGTCCAGAGACATATCTTTGGTTCTGAATTCATGCTAAAAATTATCAGCAACCCATTGAAATGGACGGTAGATGACAACAAGGGAGAAATATTTCCTGAGTTTGTTGGATATAACATTACTGATTGTGATTTTATTTTTGGCCTAACTCTGTTCCATAGTCACTGGTTTTGCTATGTCTTTGAGACCAAGAGTAAGAACTTCTATGTGTTAGATTCATTGGTCAGTAACAGGGAGTATTTCCAAAGACAGCAGGAAGAGGAAGAAGAAGAGAATGTTGAGAAGAAGGGCAAGGGAAAGGAGAAGAAGAAGAAGAAAGGACAACTGGATCCCAAAGAAATGATGGCAAGAGGATGCGTATGTCTATACTTATCACTCAACATTACCAACATCTATATTTGTCGTTGTCTTCTAGATTAGTTGTAAATTAACATTACTAACATTGCAAGTCTTGAGTTTGCAAAGGAATTGCTTTCACTCTCTACTTCGTGCAGTCAAGCCACAATTGTTTGAGGATGATGTTAGCACAGACATTATATGGGCTAAAGTTCATGTGCAAACTGATACGTGAGTTCCTTTTATGTTTATACATCATTAAGCTTATATTTACACGTGAAAAATTAATTTTACGTTATGTTTTTTATTTTGTTTTTAGCCATACTTGTGGGGTGCACGTTATGACATGGTTACAATCGTGGGACAACACTGTGGATAAGAATGGGTATATGATGCCAAAATACTCTGACGTATGCATTCTTTGCTTTACATTTTTCCTCTTTCATGTACTACATATTTGTTGTTATCCCTTATAAGACTTACTTGTGGTGCAGGATGACCTCTATAAGAAGAAGGTAGAACTCTTGTGGTGGCTACTGAGTCATCATAACAATGTGAAGGTAGGATCCCAAGTGATGAGGAAAAGGAAATAGAAGATTTTTTATAGATCCTTAGGATGTAATTTTATTGATCATCATATCCCTTTGTATAGTTAGCTCATTTTGTGTAGTTAACTTACATAACGCTGGTTATAAAAGCTGATTACAAGTTTGTAAATGTGGCAGACAGTCTGTTTTATTAATTGCATGTCAACAAGTTGTTATCACTTTATTGACAAGTGTCTATAAGCACATTAACAAGTTAATAATTCACTGTTGACAAGTACTATTAACTATATTGATAAGGTAGTAATTCGCCATTGATAAGTACTGAGGTAGTAAGTGCTGTCGTTTTCTTAGAAAATCAGCTAGTTAAATGAACCAGTTGACTACTTAGCTTTAGAGATTGACAAGTACTATTAACTATATTGACAAGGTAGTAATTCGCCATTGACAAGTGCTGAGGTAGTAAGTGCTGTCGTTTCCTTGAAAATCAGCTAGTTAAATGAACCAGTTGACTACTTAGCTTTGGAGATTGACAAGTACTATTAACTATATTGATAAGGTAGTAATTCGTCATTGACAAGTGTTGAGGTAGTAAGTGCTGTCATTTCCTTGGAAAATCAGCTAGTTAAATGAACCAGTTGACTACTTAGCTTTGGAGATTAACAAGTACTATTAACTATATTGACAATGTAGTAATTCGCCATTGACAAGTGCTGAGGTAGTAAGTGCTATCGTTTCCTTGAAAAATTAGCTAGTTAAATGAACCAGTTGACTACTTAGCTTTGAAGATTGACAAGTACTATTAACTATATTGACAAGGTAGTAATTCGCCATTGACAAGTGCTGAGGTAGTAAGTGCTGTCGTTTCCTTGGAAAATTAGCTAGTTAAATGAACCAGTTGACTACTTAGCTTTGGAGATTGACAAGTACTATTAACTATATTGACAAGGTAGTAATTCGCTATTGACAAGTGCTGAGGTAGTAAGTGCTGTCGTTTCTTTAGAAAATTAGCTAGTTAAATGAACCAGTTGACTACTTAGCTTTGGAGATTGACAAGTACTATTAACTATATTGATAAGGTAGTAATTCGCTATTGACAAGTGCTGAGGTAGTAAGTGCTGTCGTTTCCTTGGAAAATCAGCTAGTTAAATGAACCAGTTGACTACTTAGCTTTGGAGATTGACAAGTACTATTAACTATATTGACAAGGTAGTAATTTGCCATTGATAAGTACTGAGGTAGTAAGTGCTATCGTTTCCTTGGAAAATCAGCTAGTTAAATGAACCAGTTGACTACTTAGCTTTAAAGATTGACAAGTACTATTAACTATATTGATAAGGTAGTAATTCGTCATTGACAAATGCTGAGGCAGTAAGTGCTGCTATTCCCTTTAAAATTCAACAAGGTGCAAGAACCTGTTGACTACTTAGCTTTGGATATTAACAAGTACTATTAACTATATTGACAAGGTAGTAATTCGACATTAACAAGTGCTGAAGCAGTAAGTGCTGTTATTCCCTTTAAAATTCAACAAGGTGTAAGAACCTGTTGACTACTTCCGTTGCCTATTGAAAAGTGGATATAACTATATTGACAATGTGTTAATTCTCCATTTACAAGTGTTGATGCACTTGGTGCTGTTAATCCCTGCGAAAATCAATCAGGTGCAAGAACCTATTGACTACTTGCCATTAGTCCTTGATTATAAGGTATCAATTCATTTACAATTTATGCATTTGCCATTGAAAAGTGCTAATACATTATGTACAATAAACCAAAAAGTAAACAAAAACAAGTTCAATATATATAAACAAAAAAATACACTTGTCTGTAATATTTTCTAGCATGGATTAGGATTCTTGCAAGTCTTGGAGGTATGACCAATCTCATGACATATTCCACAATGGCACACCTTTTTGTTTTGGAATTGAGATTCCCTTCTTTTACTCTTTGGCCTACCAGGAGGCCTTCTAGTCATTGGTGGCTCCAAAAAGGTTTCGGTTAATAAATTTGTCACCGTCAATGCTTCTGGATGTGGACAGTCATATGTGGCTATCGGCTTCACGCTGGTGGCATATATCTGTTCTTGAGCAGTAAACTTGTAACATTCATCCATAAAATTGTACACATTGCCATGAAGTAGCTTGATTGCTGCACAAGCATGTGCACAAGGTATTTCACTCATTTGCCATGCTAAACAAGAGCATGTATGTGCTGCAAGATCAACATTCAAGTGTATTAGTCCATTAACTGATATAGTTTGCACAGAGATCAAATTTTCTCTATAAATTTGTGCGTGTAAATTTTCAACTCTCACAACTTGCTCCATAACTTTTGCCTCAACGTTAGGCCCGACACCATGTTTTCAATTTCCCATAGTCGCTTTGCTAGCGACCATCTTCTTTGCCAATTTCTCTCTATGCTCATGAATCAAGACATTAACATTGTGTTTTCTCTCTTTCACAATCCAAGCATTAAAGGATTCTGCAAGATTAGCTGTGATATTATCCCATCGTTTATATCCAAACTTGCATTGAGCCCATCGATCTACATCCCCTTGGGTTTCAACCCATTATGCCAATTGTGGACAAAATAATCTTAGATTCCCCATTGCAACATTAAATTCAGCCTCATGCCTTGCATAGGCAATTGCATCAAGTAATTTCAATGCATCATCTTTCATGTTGCTCGAGGTACGCGTCTTACCTCTATTAATTTTCGTAAATGCTGTGCTAAAATTTTCCTTCACATAACGGTAGTAAAATGCATGTCTCTCACCACTACCAAATATAGCTTGCACGGCACCAATAATCGCATTATTCTGATCAAAAATAATTGTTAACTCCACTGATCTTGATATGTCTTTGACATTTTGAAGAAACCAAGACCAATCTTCTAATGTTTCCCCACTAACAATGGCATATGCTACCAGAAATAAGTCATTATCAGCATCATATGTACATGCTGACAGCATTGTTCCCTTGTATGGACCGCTTAGGTGACATCCGTCTACATAAAGTATGGCTCGACAACCTCCTAAAAAACCAGATATAGAGCATCCATAAGCAATGAATAGCCTCTCAAATCTATTATTTGAGGCATTCCATTTTGCAATTGTCATCGGATCAGTTTCCATTAATCGATCACAAATCCAAGGGATTATGCTATAAGAATCTTCTGCACGACCATGTATTTCTCGCAATGCTTTTTCTCTTCCCCTATAGGCTTGACTGTAGCTCAATCGCACACCATACTCTTTATACAAATCTCTTGCAAGTTCATTGACACCTTTATCTATATTAGACCTTAGAGCATCAACCATGATTGATGATGTTAATTTTGACCTTGTCGGGTGTGACACAATAAGGTTGTCTTGCACATTATAGGTGTGATCATTGTTGAATTTTGTAACCCTTAAAATCTCATTATCTTTCCCTATTGAATATGCTGCAATGTTCCATTCACAGCCCTCCACCTTGCAATATGCAATGATCTTCTCTTTGTTATTCTTCTTAAACTTGTATGAAAACTTGTAGGAGATGCTATACTTGTACAATGCTTGCCTAAAGGCATCAACATTAGGAAAAAATTGCCCTTTACCTACTAACAAATCCTTCCATTTCATAGAACTCATTTCAGGTATTGGTGTAGGTACCATTTGTACAGCGCATGCCAATTCCGAGTCTTCAATCTCAGGATAGATACTTGGTGGAGAGAAAGAGCATCTATCTGAAACTCTCAATAAATTATCAATCCTGCATTCAATGACAACATTACAATTGTTCTTTCCAACATATTTGCATTAACAAACAAATTTACACAACTTACACGTGTTGGTTCTCTAATGGGCAATCCAGTGATGCTTCTATGGTGTCATTCCCATTTGCAACTACATACACATGTCCACTTTGTTTGTTATATTTGATCAGATGTTCTACTCCATCATCATCAACTAGATCTACAAGTGTGCTTGCATCAACATTGACTGTGAATTTTAACTTGATCATATTACTTTCATTCCCTATAATTGATGATATCATTCTTGTCAACTCTTCATATGTTGTCCCTTCCTTTATTATTCTAGTTCTAACACTCCCCCCAACATATTGCATACTTCCTTGGTCATCATTTTGAAAATGCCCCCCTATATGGAAAAAACATAATATATGTTCTCCTGAAGAACTTGCCATCTTACAGGTCAACTTGCACCACACACAGTATATTGACAACTAGACAATGTGTATTAACAACATATTTATCCACTATTGACAAGACGTAGTGTTCATTAATAGCAGAGATTTTTCAACAAAACAAGCTTACCTCAGATGCTTGGGAATAATATATAAATTGTCCTATATGAAAAAAATAATATAATACATGTTTTCCAGTAGTGCTTGCATTCTTATTGGTTAGCCTGCACAGTACAATGTATTGACAACTATTCATCTCATATTGACAACACAACAAAATACTATTGACAACATGTAGAGAGATATTCATATCAGATATTTGTCAACGAAACAGTGTTGCACCAGATTATTCCATATATCAGCAATGCAAACTGAATGATCGCAGGTTTACCCAGAAAGCATTATTCTACCCTTAAACAATAATGAAATCATTAACGCACAAGAAATCGTTTACCCAGCTAACAATGGATATGCTACTATTGATCAGTAATTTACGTAACCATTTACGGCCAACTATCGTTTACCTAAAAAATTTATTTTCTGCCGATGAAATGCTGCTGTTACAGAAGAAACACTCCCAACTCACTTAGATGAAGACAACGGCTGTAATCATGGACGTGAGGAAGTGAAGATGATCCTACCGTGATCAACAACCATGGATATGCAGCAACCTTCACTATTGCTGATCATGGGTTTCCTTAGACATGTGCGCGCAAGCAAAATCTTATTTTCAATGTTAGAGGGCAAATGGGTAATTTCACTTTCAGACTTATTCACTCTTAAGTTTCTAGGGACCTGGCAGTTATTTTTTAAATTTATGAAACTTCAGCGTATTTAAAGTGCTTACATAAAACTTTAGACTGATTCTCCTTTATTTAACCGACCTAATAAAAAAAAACATGGTCATTGGCAGCATTGTTGGGACTGTTTCGAGGAGAGAGAACAAAGGAGGGTGTATGCTGTATGGTAGAGAGGGAGGGCCATGCTGATGCCGCAAGTGGGGCCCAAGTGGGGTGCCACCAGAAATCCCTGTGATTAGAAACTTACCCAATCATAACACAGAGTTTAGGATCAACTTTCCCAGCTCAACCAATCACGAACCAGATAAGGCCTTGGACCACTTCCACTGCAATCAAAAGTGCTTCCTCTCCCTCTTACTTATACTGCAAAAGCGCCTCTTGTGGGTCACCCCCTTCCTTCCCCCTTCCCCTTCTCCTCTCAAATAATCCCACTTCTTTCCTTCAACCTTGTCTCTCCTTTGCATTTCACTCTTCTTCTCCGAATCTTAAATCTTGTTTTCATGACTTCTACTAAGCACGCCGCCAACTCCGTCGGCGGCAAGACTGCCAGAGCCTGCGACAGCTGCATAAGGAAGCGAGCTCGTTGGTACTGTGCCGCCGACGATGCTTTCCTCTGCCAGTCCTGTGACTCTCTGGTTCACTCCGCCAATCAATTGGCTCGTCGCCATGAACGGCTCCGATTAAAAACAGCGTCGTTGAAATCATCTTCCTCCTCCTCCTCCTCCGATGTCCTTGTTTTAGCTGCCATGGATCTCTCTCTGGCTCCCTCATGGCACCGAGGCATCACCAAGAAGGCTCGCACTCCTCGACATGGAAAGAATAACCAGTCTTCCGCCGCACTTGAAACACCCAGAGGACGTTACGAACCCGCCAGAAATCCTTTCCATCTGGTTCCGGAAGTGGGTTCCGATGAGTATTCCAATTCGCATGATGAAAACGAAGAGCAGCTTCTTTATCGGGTACCCATATTCGATCCGTTGGTGACCGAGCTATGTACTCCTCCGTACTCTCTGACTTCGGCTAAAACAGCAACAACAGCAGCGACACCCGGTCGAAACCAGACGGACAATAAAGAGACGAAGCAAGCAGAGAGCAAAGTCTCATCGGCAAATAAAAGCAATAGCGGGGTGGACAATTTACACGGGTTTCTTCCGACGGAAACGGAACTAGCACAGTTTGCTGCCGATGTTGAGAGTTTACTGGGCAGGGGATTAGACAATGAGTGTATAGGCATGGACGATTTGGGGCTAATCGACACTAAAGAGAAGGAATCAAGGGAGTGTTGTGCGGACAGTGAAAAAGTGAAGGTGGAGGATGAAGAGAGCCCTTGTAAGGTCGAGACGACGAGCGAGATGGAGATGGAAATCAGAGAACCGTTTGAATTGAACTTCGACTACGACTCTCCGGCGACACGTGAACAGGCTGACGAGGAGGAGAAGAAGGTCGATTTGGTTATGGCTAATGAGATTAGAAACAACGAAGGAGAGCTCAGAGAAAATAGCAATCAGAGAAAGAAGAAGAAAATACTGTTGCAGTTAGACTACGAAGCAGTCATATCCGCTTGGGCATGTCAAAAATCTCCATGGACGAACGGTGGCAAACCAGACTTCGACCCCGACGATTGTTGGCCGGAGTGCATGGTACATCTATTTCATATCACATATTTACATTTGAACAGAATGAAACTGTGTTGATTTGCATTGCCAAGATTATAGTAACTGATATTGAAATGATAGAAACAGGGAACGTGTGGGCTGGAGCTTCATCAACCCTACTATGGAGAAATGGGGACGTACGGTTGTCACGCGGGGATCGGAGACGGAGGAAGGGAAGCGAGGGTGTCGAGGTACAGAGAGAAGAGGAGGACGAGGTTGTTCTCGAAGAAAATTAGGTACGAGGTTCGCAAATTGAATGCTGAGAAGAGACCCAGAATGAAAGGGAGGTTCGTAAAGAGAGCTTCGTTCACAGTCCCAGCACCATCTTCGTTTCCTCTGCTCAGCAAATGAATCAAGTCAAAGCCTTTCTTTAATTTTCAGCTTTGCTAACTACCTACTAGCTTCCCCTGCCATTAAATGTTGCGATGCCCATGGTTATAAATATATAGCTATATATATATTCCATCATCTATCAAACTTGATGTGTACACAGTTCCGATATTAATGAATGAATGAATAATTAATGGAGTTTTTTGAATTATATAACTGGTTGTCAGCATGGCTTTCTTTTCAAGCCCTTTACAGTGACGATGACTGGGCCGGAGAGCCTCAATGCAAAGAAAGAGCCAAAGCATGCAACAGTAAAGGAAGTACTGATTTTGTAGTCTCCTTTGGAGGGGGTGAGTAAAATGTGGAAAACAGGAAGCGGCATCTTTCTTAGCAGATCTGGCTTGGCCTGTCCTGTAGTTCAGTACAGCTAAACAGTAACATAAATCCACGTTTTTTTCTTTTTTGTCATCCTCTGCCAAATAATTTCAACGTAGATGATTGTCGTGTGAAACTAGCAAGGACTTAAAGTCGTGTGCCTGATTCGAGTGGTTCATATGTAGGGGTTAAATTATAAAGGCTTCGTCTAATAATTTTTCACCAATAAATTTTAAAAAATAAAAACATAATTTTAGTTTCCTATTTTATTCACATTTTATTATTAATCTCTATAGTTTTTTTTTATTTTTTTTGTCCATATACTTTTATTTCTTATTATTTTAAGTTTCTTCAAGATTCTTATACCTTATTCATTGAGAAATCTAAAATAATAAAAAATAAAAGTGTAAGAATCAATAACAAAATATGAGTAAAATTTAAAAATTTAAAATTATATTTTTTTCTTAAAAGAAAGAACTCAATTTTTTTTGGCATGAAAATGATGGTCTCTTAGTCTTAATTGAAAACCGTAAAATATTCCACGGTTAAAAAAAAAAAAAAGAAAATCTAAGTATGCGTTTGGATTTTAAATTTAAAATTTAAAAATTAAATTCAAAATATAAATCCAGGCAGCACCTAAATTTTTTTCATGTTTCTAAATATAGCATCTTTTATGAAAAATAATGAAGCCTTTATTAAGTTCTTCCAAGAAAACATTATTATTATTAAGATTGGAAAGCCCCTTTAAAATTCTTATTTTGGTAAGAAAAAATTTATAATTGCCTTGTAACAATATTTATTGCAAAGGAAATAAACTAAATAATACTATTTGAGATATAAGGGTAATATTGGTGAAATTAATTTAAAAAAAATCAAACACTTAACTAATTCCACTAATTTTTTTATCTATGTAACTCAGTTAAAAAAAATTTTAAAAAAAAATTGTATGAAAAGAAACAGCAGGAGAGTAAAATATTAGGTGAGAAGAGGGAAGGTTCAATTACCATATATGACCCATAATTTATGAAATAAAATATTGAAAATGTGTGTCCAATTTGTTTGAATTTTCATCATTTTCCCCCTAATACTATTAAACAAAAAAATATAATTTTTAATCCTTATAATTTTATCAAATTTTATTTTAATTTTTATATTATTTTTTAATATTTTCAATCCCTACAACCATTGAAAAAACAAATGAAACTATAGGGGTGTACGGATGCCTTTTTCCAGAACCATGATTTTAGGCCCCCCTAATTGATTCTCAAAGAGTATTCAAATATGCCCTCAAAGACACTCCAAAATGGATAGAATAGGAATGTAAATTAGATAACTCTATTAATCTATTATTTTTCATTTCAAAAGTTTAAACTCATAATCTCACCTAAGTGAGCATATAATTCTTTCCTTTTCTGACTCTTTTCTTTCAAAACATGCATATCCTTATAGTTTAGAGGCGTAGCTTTAAAAAGGAGGTGGGATTGAAGCATGAAATCTTCTTGAATGCAAATTATATTTATACTCCCTCCGACTTTATATATAAAATATTTTTAATTAAATTATAAAAATTAATAAAAGTTTGTTATTTAATTAAAAGTACATTAACATTTTAATTTTATCCCTAATTATTATAAATAAAAAATGAATATTTTTTTCAAAGTAAATTAATAAAAATACTTATATTTTTCTCTTTCCAATTTAATAAGGGTATAATGGTTCATTTATTAAAAAATATGCTAATAATCTCTTATATTTAGGAATAAAAAAAAAGTTATAGAAAACCTCTTATATACAAGAAAGGACGGAGGGAATATATAATATATAACCCAATTTATATTGTTAATTAAACTCAGAAAAAAATTGAAAGGCATAAATAATCAAAGAGCAAGATTGGATACAATAATAACTTTGGATTTTCCAAATGCGCTAGTGTAAATTAAAATTTATTTATTTAAATTATATTTGATTACGGTTCATTGTGAGTTTGAAGTCCAAATAATATGATTCTGCTGCGCTGCCCGAATTAGTTTAAATGGATATTATGCTGTGTTGCCACTCCATTGAAGTTAAGGAAAAAAAAAAACAACCCACCGACCCCTGGTTCAACTGGTAAGGATTATTTTAATTTATCCAGTGTGTTTTGAGTTTGAGTTTTGATAATGTTGCAGCGTTAAGACTCTGCTGTAAACCCCGCTGCCCAAAAGAATTCGTCAATACTCAATCTCTATTAGTTTATGCCCATGGCGAACCTACGTTATAATGAGGGTGAATACTTGCCTCCACTCACTTTTACGAAAGTTACATGTAAAGCGTGTAAAATTAACTTTTTAACCCCACTAGTTTTAATATTTTGACCCCACCAAATTTCAATTCTAATAGTTTATCCTTCCCCTGTTAATCTAGGGTCTTGAATCTGCCACTGGTCTATGCCTTTGTCAAGTTCCATCAATTTAACATGAGACATGTCCAGAATACCAAATACACAAGCAATTAAAAAAAAAACGCATACAAAACGCATAATTTGTTAAGAGGACAGTTTTCCCCTTTGTGTCTCGGCTCTTGTCTTAATTCACACATGATTATGGAGTTTTTTTTTTGGGTAAAAAACTTAAATGAATTAGATCATGAGAATTTACCTAGGTCGATATTTGTTATCATGCTTGAAAAATACTTGTAAAAATACTTACAAGTTATTCGTTAAAAAAAAAAAAAAACTCTTGACGTGAGATACTAGCCATTCTTTAATTTCCACAAATCAGAAGTATTAAGCGTTGAATTACTTAATATAATAGTGCATAAGGAGCTTCCAGGAAAATGGGATAAGTATGAACTAATTATTCAAATAAAAAATAATAAAATTAGTGAAAAGGGAAGGAGGTGATGGTGATGGTGGGGGATTGTATTAAATGAGAGAGGTGGCATTTTCTTAACAAATAGAGGGGTGACGTGGCCAATTATTAAGGTGGTCCCCCTTGCTTGTGGGGCCCACCCTGAGGCGTCACAGATAAACTTTCCTATTCAGATTGTGCCATGTTGTGCTTTCTACCTCCTCCTTCCCCACCATGTTACTTCCCTTTCCGCTCCTTAACTTTCTTCATTTGGATTTCTATCCAAAAATCCAACCCCATTTTGTCCAACTTTCAATGCCTGATTGTAACATATTGCCCCTTTTCTTCTTCTATTCAAATAATTCACATCTACTCTCTTTAGATTCTCATCCTGTAATGGATCCGTTTGAATTTCAGTTGGATATAATAGATTATGAAAATAATTGATTAAGTGGTAGATTTTAATCATAATTGATTATGTGATAACGTAATCTGTTTGGATACTGTTTTTTTAAAATTGATTTTAACAAAATTGAAGATGTTTGGATAATTTAATCAGAATTAATTTTTAACTATATAAATTACTATATAATTTAATTTTTAAATACTAAATATTAATTTTTTGAATATACAAAGTTTAAATTTTATTAAGGAAAAAAAAAGGGAAAAGAAGAGAGTTTAATTTTATTTTTATTAAATTATGTGCTTCCTTTGTAATTTTTTCTTGGGCCTTTCTTTGTAATTTTTCCCAACGCTTTTTGATAAACGTTCTGCAAAAGCTGACGGAGAGAACTTACGGAAAAACGCGCGTCCTGACCCATAATCGATTTTTGATGATTTTCGACTGTTTGGCTAACTTTTCATATTAATTGATTTTTTGCCTCAAAAATCGATTAATGAGGCAATCCAAACAGACTGAATATTATTGATACCAGTGATTAATTGGATACAATTTATTTTATAGCTTGAACCTATGCAATAATTTTTTGAGTTAAATTTTTTATATGGTATTTATTTATAATTTTCTATGTCTTTTTTTATAATTTTTTAGGTCATTATATATATATATATTTTAGGCTTCTATATAATTTTTTTTATCAACTAACAATCACAGTTAGACATTGCATCATTTTTAAATGCTGAAAGAGAATATTGCATCAAAAATCATCACATAATTATTATAAAATATGTCCAAACCAAGGTCTGAATCCTTGATCTCCACCTTTCAAGTCTTAAGACCTCCTTTTTTGTCAATTAAATTAAAATAAATCTATAATTATTATATATGAAATTAAATATATTAAAAATATATATGTATATATTTTATTTATTTTCATCTATTAATATGATAAAATAATTTATATGAGTGTGTGTATTATATTTTTTTAATAAAATATTATTTTTTAGCAAATATTATTTTTGTTAGAAAAATGACCTTAAAATGAAATAATCTTTAAATATTAAATATTTGTCTTATAAACATTTTAACCAATTTTTAAATTTTATTTTTATCTTTAAATGAAAATAATTAAGTAAATAATTTATTTATAAGTATGTATTATATTAGTTAATGTTAAATATCTTGTACTTTTTTTCCATATTTTTCTCAAAAATTAATAAATAAATGATTAAAATTTTATCTTCTATCAAATTAAACGCTTCCCCTTCTTTTATTAAAACTAATTTTTATCAAAAAATTTTCAATTATCCTAAAAAAATGTTTTAATAAAAAATTTATTTTACCCATATAAATTTTATTAATAGCTTTTTTGAACAATTATTTTTCATTATCTTTGAGATAGAAAATGCGTAGACATGTGATAAAATAAAACTAAATGCAAAATAAAAAATATCTAAATCAAAAATTTAAGTGAATATTTCATAATCAAAATAGAAAGATGATGAAGAACATTTTGGTTCAATTGGTAAAAAAATTATACTTTTTAATCAAAATTTTATCTTGACTCAATCTAAATTAGTTTAAACTTTCATTAAAATCTCTTAAACAAAGTT